GTTATAATTATTGATATACAACTTATTTGTTGCTGTGTTTTGGTTTTCTTCATTTTTACTGGTGCAGACAGATGTTGGGTGTGTTGTCTTGATTTATACAATATTTCACGTATCCAATCTCTCTTTAAATCTCTTTTTCTTCTCTTCTATTAAAAAAATGTCACTGATGATGAAACTAAACTAACATTCAGGTCTGTTTTCTACTGAAGTGGCTTAAAAAATGTGCATTCTTTTAATATAGTGGTGGGGTTTTATTACTTGTTAAGAACCATTTACAGTTTTCTTGATCCATTTTGAAGCAGATTTAATTGCTTGTATTTAATGATACACACAGAGGCAGTTACATTATTACCCACTTTTTACAGCAGCAGGCAGAAGTTATAAAGTTGTCAGCCATCTCCTAAAATACAAAAATCATCAGAATTCTTGTTCAAATTGATTTAGAAATAAAACTAATATTTCTTAGTTCACAAGAAAGATTAAAGAACATTGTTTTGTTAAATTGAGTTTAAACACTTTAAAATACCTTTTATCTATTAACATTTTTATTTAAATCTGCAGGTGGTTAAGTACAATATAAAAATATAGAAATACTACATAAAAACTTCTAAAACAAGTAGCTATTACCAAAACAATACATAATCCGAATAAATGTCATTTTTAAACTTTAATTGTGCGAAAATTAGTTTTTATTAGTTTTGAAAATGCAGATTAGGATAAACAACTTAATTCTACTGTTTTACTTCAACTTAAAAAAAAAACGCACGTACATTTTGCTTTTACTTCGCTAAAACGGTTCTAATTTTTGTACAATTTCTGTGAAACCCTTTTAGTTTAAGCTGCTTTTATTTGTATTTTAATCATATTTTTTAGAATAAAATATATATAAACAGGTGTTTTTTTCCATACTGACCTGAAAAAGACTAAATCGAAACCTTTAAATGTTCAGTTTGAAGCACCAGGTGGCAGCAGTTGGTAACATCAGATCTGAAAAATAGTGACAATGTGGAGGAAACGTGTTTTATTGAAATTAAAATTTATAAATTGCATTATGCACATGGATACAGTCGCTCTTAAAGTACCATGTCCCCGAACAGTAGTTTTATTCAATTTTCACATTTTTAAAAGAAAATAAAACATCTGACATACGCAGAAATAACAAGCAGCACATTACAATGTGTGAAACAGCCCAAATAAACACCAGAGGTCCCTTTTAGGATGCATTGAAACGTGTTGATCAGCTGGATTTAAAGCTTTAAGAGAAATTAATTATGCTTTTATTAAAGAATCATCACTTCACTCCAAAGTGCGCTGCTGGAAAAGTGTGATTTTAATTGAGTGTTTGATGAACCACGGCATAAATTTCAAATGTTTAAAGAAAAAGCATTAATGTGTAGAATAAATTCCTGGTTCAGCACAGCAGCAGGTTGTGTCCTGAATCTAAACATTTGAAACATTTTACTCGTGTCGACTTACACCAGCAACAACAAGCGTTATAAAACTGGGAGGGAGCAGCCAAATGTGGTTATGTGATTTTTTTCCAAGTGAAACAATCTGAACACAAACAAAGCTGGAAATAAAAGCAGGAAGAGTTCTGTGTGGTTCTATAGATAAAACATACACTGTAAAAGTTCAAGGTCTTTTTATCCGTCATACTCGTTTAGAGATGTCTTTCTGGAGTGAAAATGTAAAGTATTCAAATAAAACCTGTTTTTTTGAAGTATTTAATCTTAAACTTTTTACTTTGTAAATTCTATCAAAGGCATGTTTTTGTTGACTCACAGAAAAACAGCAGTAATAAACTTCCAGTGTTTGTTATTCAAATTATTCATCTTTCAAGTGTTTATTTGTTGGCTCAACCTGCACGTGACAAGAAAAGCTTTTGACCCATAAAACCACAACTTCAGCAATATCTGCGACTTCAGCGCCCTCTGCTGGTCACAGAATCCAACCAACCTGCCAGATGAGAAAGGTAAAGTAAACAAGTTCCTGAATGTAAACGACAATCTCAGACTTTAAGTTTTGATTTAAACGTGGCTCTGTCTGGCTGTAACCCACCAGCTCACCCAAATTGTGGTGATGATGATAATAACGATAATAATAATAATAATAATAATAATGTCTTTAGTGTAACTTCAAGGATTTATTGTCCATAATGTGTCTCCTCAGAGCCGTTCAGTAAAGGTGTCGATGGAGCTTCCTGCTTTGTAAATTTATCTCCTTCAGTCAAACAGCTGGTCTCCAAGATGCTGAAGTCCCCGTTTTCAGTCAAATCCCCATCGGCTGTGATTGGTTGAAGCTCTGGAGATTTAATCAGATCCATCGTGTTGGTCATGTCCTCTTCGTCCTGGAGACTCCCGTTGACGTGCAGGTCCAGAATGTTCTCTGACCAGTTTCTGACGTCCTCCGAGTTCTCACAAACACTTCCCTCCTCGCTGCGTTGGACGATGCTCTCGTCGGAAGACGTCAGCGAAGTGCTGTCCTCTTCGCTCTCAGCGTGTTCCACTTGGTGGACCGAGTCACTGGGTTCCACCTCAGGCGAAACCTTCTCATGGACTTCTGACTGAATGTGTTCCACTTCCTGTTGGGGGTTTTCCTGTACCGAGTCACTGGGTACCCGCTCAGGTCTACTGTTCCCATTCTGAGTTTCCCCGAGAAGTTCTGACTGTAGAATTTCATCCCTAATTGTTTGTTCGATTTGCTGCTTTTCTTGCACTGATTCTCTGAGCTCCTCCTCAGGTGCACCACTCTCATGGACATCTGGCTGAAGGAGAACGTTGTTTTTGTCCTTGTGTTCCACTTCCTGTTGGTGCTTTTCCTGTACCAAGTCACTGGGTACCCCCTCAGGGGCACTGTTCCCATTTTGATGAATCTCTGATTGAAGTAGGGGTTCTTCTCTGTCCTTGTGTTCAACTTTGTGTTGATGCTTTTCTTGTATCCAGTCTGTGGGTTCCACCTCAGAGGTGCCGTTCTTGTGAACTTCTGCCTGAAGAACATTGTTTTTGTCCACGTGTTCCACTTCCTGTTTGTGTCTTTCTTGTACCAAGTAATCAGATTCCACCTCAGGAGCACCGTTCACATTAGAAGTCTTTATGAGGATTTCGTCTTCAACCGTGAGTTCGACTTCCTGTTGGAGATTTTCTTGTACCGAGTCACTGGGTTCCCCCTCAGGTGCACCGTCCACATTCTGAGTCTCTACACTGACTTCTGACTGAGGAATGGTTTCATCTTTCCTGCCTGATCCATGATTTATTTCGTCATCAGAATTTGTTTCCCTTTCTGATTGGACATTTGAACTTAGACCTTTGTACACCTGAGACGTAAAGGGATTTCTCAAATCAGGTTTTTCAGAACAGACGTCCTTTGGAGCGACACGTTCTCCAACTTCCTCCGTGTTATTGACCCTGAAAGATAAAACCTCTTCAGATTTCACACCCGTTTCAGGCTCAGAACTGACTCTGCTTTGGTTTTCTTTAGCCTCTGAATGATCCTCGCTCTTTTTATCTGTATTTATTGCGACGCCGCTCTCCTCCTCCTCGAACCCGTTGTCCAGCTCGCACTCCGTCTCCATGGGGGAGTGGACCTCCACCGGTGTCTGAATCAGGCAGCTCCTCCGTTCGGTTTGTTCTGCAGGGCCGAGGCTCGCCGGATCTCTGGGATTCTCGCCCAGATAGAAGATGGCCTGAGTGGGTTCACGGTCCTCAACAACAACCTCCAGATGGTGGCTTTTCTGGGAAATCCTCACTGAAGGTTTCTTCTTGTGCAGCATTTCATCTGAGTCCAGAACATCTACGGAGGGGTCGGATTCCTCACATGGGAGTACTTCAGGGTTTGGAGTCACATGAGGCTGATGAGGAGCTGGACTGTGAACAAAAAAAAACATTATTTAGCATTTTTAAGTCCAATAAATGTGTAAAATGCAGCTTCAGCAAATCATTAATGGATCAAAACGTTCGGCTCGTTGTTTTCCCCACACTGAATATTCTTCAACAACACTTTTCTTTCAAACCTGACGTATTTCTGTCGTCTTATGCTACTTTTAGGGAGTTTTTTAATTATAAAGCTCTGTTTATATTGTATAATACAATAATTGTTCCACACTTGATTTACTGTGTTGGAGTCGTGTAAAGCATGCAAAAAAATCACAAAACCTATTTTCATTTTACAGAAAAGAGGAGTAAGAATTATCAACAGAAAACATTACAGTCACCCATCGAATATATTATTTTGTAAAATGAAATTAATAAAATTTTATGAGTTGGTTGATTATAATATCTTACAGATTATGTATAAGGCTCAATTTTTTTAAACCTTTAAACATCCAGTTATATTTTGTTAAGAGAGAGAGTTCTTATAATCTTAAAGGTTTTGAGACGTTTATTAAACCTAAAATTCAAACAGATTTGAAGGACTGATGTACTTCAGTTCAAGAAATAAGATTGTGGAATAAACTGGAAAGTGATTATAAAAATGTTGGTTCAATGTGTTTAAGAGAATGATTAAAATACGTTTGTTAAAGAAATATGAAATTGTATAATGTATTTCAAAAGCTGTTTGAGAAGGAATATTTTGTTTCTTGATTATTATTGCTTGAATTAATTATAGTAAAAAAGGAGCAGATAAGATTTTTTCTTCTTTCATTTCAATTGGGATTTGTATATTTGTGTATAAATTTTTTTAAATGAAATTAATAAATGAATACTTTTAGTTTTAGCTACTGTTCTGCTACTTTTAGCCCATATTTACCATTTTTCTATTCCCTAGCTTTTTTGTTTCTTTCAGCTTGTTTTTTGCTGCTTTTTGGCTTTCAGCTAATATTCTGCTCGTTCAGTGCTCAGCTTTCAGTCTAAACTGTMTTTTGTTTATTTAGAGTAACAACAGGTTCCTGCTGCGTACCTCTCCATAGACTCGTAAGAAATGGTCAAACTGGGCTCCCTGATGGACTCCTCCTCCTGAGCCTGAGCCAGGCCCTGATTGGACGAGGCGTAGTTGAGGATGGCATCCATCACAGAGAACGGCGTGAGGCCCTGAACGCAGTCCTGGATGTGGCCGACGGGCAGCTGGGTCTGCAGGAACAGGTGGAGCTGGCTGTCGGACAGACACACCGTCATGTGCACCACTCTGCCACCGGGACAAAATGACAAAATAAATGTTTGTTGGCAGGAAGTTGGTTTGACTAAAACTTTGCAGCAGAACCGGAGGAGAACTGACTTGTTTAAAAAGACCTGAAGTCCTTTTCTTCGTCTTTCCAGAAAGTCCTCATTGCTGAAGTAGAAGATGGATTTTCCCGGAAGGTCTGGGACCGGACTAGAAGGAAAATAAAAAATAAGGCTTAATATTGATTTTATGGAGGTTTGATTTATGCGAAAGAAAAATAACAGAAATAACAAAAATACAAATAGGGCTGCTTTACTTACACCAAACCCGCATTTTTCTGCAGCTTCTTCTTGAGCCACACGAACTCGCTGTAGCGCCGTCGCACGCAGGACGTCTTGGCCGTGAAGGCTTTACTGTTGGTCTGAGAGAAGGAGGAAAAATAAAGAGAAGCATGAAATGCTGAGTCATGCAGAACTAAAGAAAAGGATGACTGAAATCACACCAAAGCATCACGCTGGTGATATTTTTTTTTGTTCTTATCAAATTTAAATCTTATTGCTGCAGGGAATAAACAACAAACGTTATTTTTTTCCTCTTATTCGGGAAGAAAACATCACAGATTTAGGAAAAGCAGCTCCTTTAAAGAATCTAACAGGAAGTGATGCAGTCCACGTGTCCTTTATTTCTACAGACTCTTGAGTGACTGTCGTGCTGACACATAATCCAGCTGATCAAACGAATCTTATGAGAGAAACTTTGATCACATGTCAGATTTGTTCCAGTGGCGTGACGAGCTGCAGCACTTAAAGATGCTCGCTGAAAGGTCATAAAGACCTGCTAATAAAAAAAATGAATGTAGTAAGAAACAAATCTAACTATTTAGACATTGAAATACCTTAAAATTAAATGTACATCCACAGCAACATAACCTGGAAACCAGTGCCTTCATTTATATTTTCATTATGTTTATATGTTGATTTCCTACCAGTGGCCATCAAACTGTATAACTCCTCCCTAAACATGTGAAACTAGATCATCTGTACATTTTATTATTTTTAGTTTTTATTTGATATTTAATTTACTGTATTTTATCCATAACACTCACCAAACTTGTGCAATACACCAATATTTTCTTAATATTTCTATTTATTTTACATTGTTTATGTGTGCATAAGTGTCCTTATTTTGTAATCCTGGGTGTTTATACTTATTTTATTCTAGTGTGCTTATTTATTTCTTTTCACATTTCTCTGATCTGAATGATTGCAGCTGTAATACCTGTAATTTCCCTCGGAGATCAACAAAGTATTCTGATTACTCACGTGGATGAATATTTTATAGTCGACGTATGAATTCCATGAACCCTCATTCTGAATGCGAGGGTCCTGGACTCGCACTGCAATAAACTCCTGAAAAAGATGATAAAAGAAACTGATGTTAATCAATGGGATCAATTTTTTAAAAAAACTGTTGACATTCGTGTGGCTTTGACAGATAAGATCTGACAGTGCGTGACTCTTCTGCAAAAAGAAAAAAATAAGTTCCTCCAATTCTTCACGCACKTCTAACACGAAACAGTTACTTGCTCTTTGGCAGAAGTGGAGTTAGAGGGAGGTTTGTGACACGAAAAGCAAAACTATTATTAAAGAATAACAGTTGAATTTTTTTTATAAAATCAGGTTACTCACATCGTCAACTTGATTCCTGCTCATCCTACCGAGAACCGCACTGCAAAGGTTTGACAAAAAATCAACCAAGAGACAATTAAACAACCAGAATCAAAGAAGTTAAATATTCAGTGCCCTCCTATGTCATGAGCAGATGAATCATCGTCTGACAGAGAAGCTGGTGAGGTCAGATTAGATGAGTCAGACCTGGGTGGTTTTCTCTTTTTTACCTATAGAATAACGTTTGTTTTTCAACTATATATTTTTAATGAAGTGAAATTCTTTACAAGAAGAATATCAAACAAACTGCACAGCTGGTAAATCAAAATGCCTTTAAACTTGTTGCTGACCATCGGTTCAGATTTCTGTTTGTTCTCATCTAAAGGGAAGTTATCAATGTTTTGTTTGCTTTACTGTGATGACCTGACTGTGTGGAAATTCAGAGTTTCAGGTAGAAAACATGCGAAACATAAACAAACATTTGTCACTTTCTTTTTTGCACAAAAGCAGCTCAAATTTCATCACAGTGAACTCACCAAGAAGGTTTTTAAATAACTGGAGGCAAACAAAAGCAATGATTAAATTATCAACTCCTCTGTTAAGGCCTAAAATGGCAGATATATTTTGTTTTACTGATAAAAGTGAAAGCTGATTCAGCATTCACAATCCTTTCCTGATTTTTGTGCATTTTTTTTGCAATAAAAAGTACTTCTGCAAACTTGGTGCTATTTTAGATGTTCATGTTACAAAACGTGCAGCTCATTCAGAAATGAGTGTCATGGTTTTATTTAATTTTTACTTTTATTTAAACATATTTTCCACACTGAAATGCACAGAGCTTTATCCAAGTCCTTCCAAATACACTGTTTTTATTGAAATCTGCTTCAGCATTCATGCTCCGTTTTTGTCTTATACTGATTTTAGCTCCTGTTCTGCTACCTTTTCTTAAGCCTTTTGCTATTTTTTAATGATACTTTTAGTTTTTAGCTAGTGTTCTGCTTCTTTTGGCATTTAGCTAGACTTTTTCTACATTTAACTGTTAACCAGCCTTTAGCTGACTCGTTAACCCTGACTTTTGCTACTTTGAGCTCTGTGTAAGCCTTTTGATTCACTTTTAGCTTTTATTTCTTGTTTTGCTAATTTTAGCAACCTTATTGCTTTTTATTTGTTTAGCTCTTTATGGCACCTAGCTAGAGTTCTGCTCATTTTAGCTAGTGCTCAACTTTTAGTTTTGTCAACTCAGTTTTAGCTTCTTAGCTTCAGCTAATTTCAGCAGTCATTCAGCACTCACTCAGTTTAGAAGAAAATACATGTTTCAGCAGTTTGCTCTAACATTTATGTTAATAGCTAGACTGCTTTTGAAATAACTAAAAAGAAAAAAATCAAAAAACAAAATCAGACAATGTTACTGACATTTTTAATATCATTTTAAAAGGCTTATATTGTTTTAAAASCTACTATAAAGAGGGCAAACACACTTATATCTACTTGCTATAAAAGATACCCATAAACCACAAATTACCCACAACTTTTTTTTAACTTTACTGTTTTGAGAAGTCTCTAATATGGCTAAATGAAGTAAAAATACACAAATTTGACAGMGTTTGTTTAAATAGCTAAGTTTCTTGATAATTTACAAAGCATTTACCAGCCAGAKAATTTAAAACTGAAATTTAAACCAAACTGTTGAAAAATATTACTCAAAGATAGGAACTTCGAGGACYGTTTAGCTTTTCAGGCCTGAATAGTTTCTAATAAACAATCCAAGGTAGCTAAAGCTAACCCGCTCGAAAGCTACTTACTTTCACAAAGTGTTCGCTGGCTTCTGTTGTTAGCATTCAGACTGTTGTCAGCATTCAGACTGTTATCAATATATTCCCCCACTCGTCGGTAATTTAGTTTTACTAAACAATAAAAACATTCAAATACAAGACGAGGGTGTTGTTTTCAGCTCCTATCTCCATTTCGTAAGCACCATCATCGCTACGTTGCGTCATCGCCTTTGAGGTTGAGTTGTGGAAAGCCAATTTATCACATAATAATTGAACTGGCATATTGCACAACCCACATCTTTTTCTTGTAAATATAAATAAGCAAGTTGAATTCCAGATTATCTTAATTTTTTTGATGTTTGTCATAAATATCAAATATTATAAATTATCACATGTAAGAGTGTCTTTAAATAAGTGTTACATCTGCCTGCCCTAATCGTTCTCAAGGGGAGGGGCGAAGAGAAAGGTTTCGTTCAATGGCACACTGAGAGCTCGGAATTCATACAGCTGTTCAAAGTTATAAAAGGTTCATTTTTTTAAATTTTCACATAATTTTAGTCAAATTTTCAGTTCTTGAACTAACCAATCATTGTTACTATGTCTTTCCCCCACTWTAATTCATCATTTTGCACAGCTAAGGAATAAACTCCCTTTTCCGAGGTGCTGAAAAAAAAAACATCATGAAAGTACGCTCAAAAATAGAGTAGCCCTTTCACCCAAATTCATTATAAAGAACAGAAATGATTATGCAGAGTGCATGACTGTAGTTTGAAGACAACGCTGAAAAACAAACGAGGAAGAAAGAGAAAGAAAAAAGAAATAAAAGGTGGTGAAAAACAAATGACTGAAAAGACGAGATATCCTGGAAGTGTTTTAGAACAGTTTTTAAGATAAAGAAATAGTTTTTTTTTGTCAGTTTTCTTTTATATACAAATAGCTTTCTGTAGACTGATACATGAAGATGGATTGTATGAATGGAAACACGGAGCCTTTMCTCTTCATCTTTTGCTCATCCAGTCTGTGCTCATCCTCGCACACTGGAATCATAGATCTATAAAACACATCGATGTGACACAAGCGGCACCTGTTGTGTTAGCGTTTAAATCCATACGCTTCACAGTCTGCGTGAAATCAATGGCCCCGCCCTCTAAAAAAATCTTTCCCTTTTCTCCTACCAGACGAAGGGGCGGAAACGGCACATTTTTTTGTGTTGTCAAGCTAGCGGCTCTTCGTTTCGACATCAAACCCACGCAATTAACGGCGTTGGGAATATAATATTGTGACACAACGACAGTCGAGTTGTGGGAATCATAAAGACATTTGTTACATTTTAACCGATCGGTGAGTTTTTTCCCCCTCTCTTTTCTTCTACTGTTGTTGCATTTGATTGTTGTGCACGAGACTGAGCGCTGGAGAGCATCAGTGGATTTTTACACGATTTGCATATTAATTCACGATTTAACCACCTGTACGCTTAACGAACAAATAGGAGACGCTTTTAACGGATTATGTGTAAAAACTGAGGTTATAATCATCAAACATCTGGAGAGGAAAAAAAAAACGCTCCCGCAGTTGTTCCCGCGAAAGCAACATGGAGGAGACAACAGTAAGCTGGAATCTGCCTCTCCCTCCGCGGCGAGGGGCTAGTTTATCCAGCCATTCCCGCCCTTTTACCTTTCCACCCCGGTTTCATTAAAGTTATGATTGTCAAATTATTATGAGGTAGTGTTTTACTCTGCATTAAATCATATTTACAAGACTGAAAAGCCCGTTTTATTTCTTTAGTAGACATTTACCGATGCCATGTGTTGGAAACCTTCCATTGTTGGCTCATAGGTATGAAAGGTAGACAGCAGACACAAAAAGGTTCCCTGGAATTATATRAAATCGTGCAGGCTGAATGAGTTTACTCTTGTAGGTTGTCAGATCGGGTTTAATGAAAGCAGTTTTGAAGCGCGGGTCCACATTCAATGTAAACAAAGCACTCAGGCATGACTTTATCAGAATGAAAACAAACATCCCAATCCTGCCCTGAACAGCCTCCTTTATTTACAACAAAGCAGTTAAAGGGACATTTACTTCGTTCGTTTTAGGCGTATTGGTTTACAGTTCTAAAACGCAGGTCCGCACTCAATGTAAACAAAGCACGAATCTGCTGAAAACCACCTGGAATTTCACCTGACTGTCTTACTTTAATCTGGTGGTCACTCAAAGGTAAACAGACAGGGTTAGTTGGCATCTGGTCACTAAACTTTTAATTTAGGGACTTGTTAATCATTAATATAAGAAAAGCAGGTTTTGTTTGTTAATGAATAATTTTTGTTCAGTTTGTCCCTTTTTACTACCTGTTTTTTAGACAAATGAAAAAATTATATAAACTGTAAAAGTAAAACATCCTCACCTGAATATATTTAGTCACATTGTCGCCTTTTCAATGAATCCAGCTGTCTGATGTTGTTCTTGTTTTGACTGTCTTGATGCTGACAGGAGCCTACTGGTCCCCGGGTCTACCTGATGAGTATGAGCCAGACTACAGAACCCTCTAACGATGAGCCCACTGTTACAGAAGGTTTCCTATGTTGTTACTTTCTAACATAAATGCTCTGTTTGACTTGTTTTTGATGGGTAATGTTTGTAGTTTATTGTTATTATGATTAAGTTTATTCATTTCTTTAAAAACAACATAAATTCAATATACAATAAAAAAAAATACAAATCAGAGTTAAATGATTGTGTTTGACGTGAATGTGTTAATTAGCAGAGTTTTATATAAAATACTGTAATTGTGAATGTTTTTTTTTTATGAGAGACGTGGATAAAGGTGTTTTTACCCTTTCAGAAAAGAAAGAAAAACAAAACAAAAAAAGTCACTGACAAATAAAAAAGAAAAAAATTRTATAGGTCTTCTGGACGGGTTCTTCTCTAATGAAACGTTTCGTCTCTCCTCCAAGAGACTTCTTCAGTCTGAGAGTTTCAGGCAAAATTCAGGCTTTTGTGATGTGACTGATACTCACATCACATGGCTATCGTTGACACCTAATTAACACTTATTAACACATTACGGCAAAGGCCGGTTCACCCCAAAGATCCGGTGCCCCGGCACAAACAGAGCAATGTTGTATATGCTGTTAAGTGCCAGGAGGACTGCGACCAGTTATACATCGGGGAAACAAAGCAGCCACTGTTCAAAAGAATGTCCCAACACAGACGAGCTACATCTAATGGCCAGAACTCTGCAGTTTTCACTCATTTACAGGCCAGCGGTCACTCTTTCAGAGATGAGGATGTTCTCATTCTTGATAGAGAGGAACGTTGGTTTGAGAGAGGAGTAAAAGAAGCCATTTTTGTGAAGAAAGACCGTCCGTCATTAAACAGAGGTGGAGGCCTCCGTTTTCAGTTGTCCCCCTCCTACAGTGCTGCTATTGCCAGTATCACTCCACCCCCTGTTAACAATAAGTGTAACATGACAAAAAGAATATTAATTTATAAATACAGAAAATCAACGATGAACTTTTGTTCAACATAATTGTTTAAAATTACTTAAACAAATTAAATAGCAACTGAAGAGTCCAGTGATTCGAGGTGAACTCACAGGTCATCGGGGTCAGGTCACACCGTCCCTCACTGTTTGAGGAGGACACCGCAGGATAAAAAAATGARACCAGAATTTGCCAGAATGCATGTTGAGAAAAAACTAAACTTCTCGGAGAATATCCCAGATCCAAACATAAAACAAAGAACAGAACYCTGGACCTACAGTGAAACATGGAGGAGGCTCGGTTCTGTTTGCCCAGCATCAGAAAGCTTGGTCTCAGTCGCAGGTTCTGGGTCCTCCAACACTAAAACACCCAAGAATGGATCAGAACCAAACACTGGGCTGTTCTGAAGAGGCCTTCCGAGCCCTGATCTAAATCCTGTTGAACATCTGTGGAAGAAGCAGAAACATCTGGAGACAAAACCCTTCAAACCTGAGACAGCTGGAGCAGTTTGCTTACAAAGAGTGGGTCCAGCTCCCTGTGGAGGTGCACACGTCTCAGAGAGGAGGTTTCAGTGACTTTATGAGTTCGTTTTCAGTTAACAAAAGGGTAAAAAACACATTCTGAACATTTTTCAGGAAAAAAAAATTGTCTCAAGTATTAAAGTATTAAATATTACAACCATGTATTTTTCTTTTACCTCAACCTGACAGAGGCTAAAACAACTTCAGTTGAGAAGAAGGACAAGAAGCCAGATGATGTTGCAGAGGAAGAGGAGGAGGAGGAAGAGTATGTGGTGGAAAAAGTGCTGAACCGGCGGGTGGTGAAAGGCAAGGTGGAATACCTTCTCAAGTGGAAAGGCTTTTCTAAGTGAGTATTTTAAAACTTTTTAATTCGAACGGCTTGGTGTTAAAGGTTAAACACAACAAAAAAACATCCCAGGTTTCTGAGATTTTTTTTTCTCTTTGCAGCAGATGTGAATAAACATTCTAAGAAACCTGACCTTGCTCTTTCTTTTCTCTGTGCGTTTACGAATTATTGCACTTTTCAAAGCAGCTCCAGTGTTCACGCAGACTCCAGGAATGAACTCAATAAACTGTGCTGCAGTATTTGTGTGTAACTCGTTTCAAGGTCCTGGTTGCAGGTGTTCAGGGAGGTTTGTGTGCATATTTCAGGGTGATAACATGGCTGTTTAAAACAGACAGGAAGTAGCACCAACACTCAGAAAACTGTTAAAAAAACACTATTTAAATATACATATTTTTGAATTCACTCTTAGTAAAAGGAATTGGCGTCTGTGTTTTAGTTAAATACCTAATTTTCCTCCTCTTGGTTCTGCAGTGAAGACAACACCTGGGAGCCAGAGGAGAACTTGGACTGTCCAGATTTAATCGCAGAGTACCTGCAGAACCAGAAAACGGCACACGAAGGGAAAAGAAAGGGCGGCTCAGATGCAGATGGAGATGACAGTAAATCCAAAAAGAAGAAAGACGAAGTGAGCAATAGTTATAACGAGTTTAATAATCTGCTTCTTGTCCCACTATGGATAAGCTGTAGATGCTGCATCAGTGATGTCATGATAACTTTCTTATTGTTTGTAGTTAGTGGAAAAGCTAAATTGAAACAACTAAACAAAATGTAAGGAAATTTGTGTTTGGTAGATTCTTCTTTTGTTGTAACGATGCTTCTTGGTGATAAATCTTTTACCATTGGAAAATCTCCTTTTTAAACGGAGCCACATTTGTCAGGAACTTGCATTTGTGGGATGAGCAGCAGAGCTGACTGTGGGTTATGCACATGAAAAAAAAAAAAAAAACATTTCCTTACTTTTTGTGCCTAGTATAGATAAAATCAGATTGGCTCCTTCTCTTAATATAATTTAAAATGCCTGTGACATGCTTTTCCTTCAATTACAAAAAAAATTAAAGAAAATATCCTAATATTTTAGAAATTTGGCATCATTCATATGATTTTTACCCAGTTTGTCACAAAACGAGCATATTTTTTGCTAAGTTTGGTGCAGTCCAAGTGAAACAGGAAGTGATGTCAAAGGGGAACTCTTTAAAAAAAGGGCAACTTCCTGTAACTTCTTTATAAATCTGTCTCTTCTTTATCTATCTGATAATGACCCAAAATAATCTACAGAAACATCTGATTCTTTGCAGTCTGTTTTTAGCCATTGTAGCAACTGATTCAGGAATTCCCCTTTGACATCACTTCCTGTTTCTGCTTATGTGAATAACTCAACAACTGTTCATTTCAGTGTTGTGAATTTTTGTTTGCAATTCATCACGAATGTTACCTTTCCAAATATGCAATCAAATTTATCACTTAAATTTAACGTCACAGGCACTTTAAAAGGATCTTTTGATACCAGAGTGAGAGCAGCCAATCAGAATCAAGATGTGCGACTGCTTTAGAGGCGGAGCTGAGGCAGAAAAGAGATAAACGGTGGAACTCACACCCACGTGTTGCCATGTTTGTTCCTCAGAACGAGAAGCTAAGGGGCTTCGCTCGAGGTCTAGAGCCGGAGCGGATCATCGGGGCCACGGACTCCACGGGAGAACTCATGTTCCTCATGAAATGGTCTGTACCTCCCCGTGCCGTCGAGTCTGACCCGCTTGTCGCAGGCGCTAAAACGTTCTGTCGTTGACGCAGGAGGAACTCGGACGAAGCCGACCTGGTGCCGGCCAAAGAGGCCAACGTGAAGTGTCCGCAGGTGGTCATCTCCTTCTACGAAGAGAGACTCACCTGGCACTCGTACCCCTCCGAAGACGAGAAAAAAGAYGAGAAAAACTAACGGCGAGAGCAAGAGGTGGGGAAGAACTTCACTGTACTTTTGATGGGGGTGGGCAGCAAGACTTTGTGACTCATCTTTTGGTGTGAATTCACTCATCTGATTCGACTTTTTTGTGGATATAATCAAACGCGTCAGATGTGCTTTATTGGATCAGAAGAAACAAAAACAACGCAGTGTTAAGTTTTAGTAAACATTCCAGTCACTTTGCTTTTAGTATTGTTTCTAATCTGTGTACCGTTTGTTCTGTTTCYTGCAGGCCGAGCTCCGTATTATACCTGAATTAAAGGTACTTTTTGTAAAATCAAGACCTGATCTAAAAAAATAAGTAAATCAGAGCAAGAAACAGAATCTGTACAAAATAGATTTTGTATCAACGATCAATTAAAAAATGTATTAAACTTGTGAGCGGATTCCAACTGTCACGTTTGTTTTTACCTACAAAAACAGCCAAAATGACTGAAAGCATGTTAAACGTACCTTTTTATTCCTCGTGTAGTCAGTCATGTGACTCGAGCTTCCACGTGGTTTTCAAAATAAGAGTTTACGTTGAGCGCAGACCTGCAGTAAAATCTTTGAAACTGCACTCCTCGAATTAGTTCAGGGTCATTTTTTATGTTTGATTTCATATTTTGGAAATAATTAATGTAACTGGTTTGTTGCAATGAACCTGTTTTAAATATTGTTTGAAAACAAGACGTTTGAAAAGACTTTTTTTTTTTATCAGTATTAAAGTGATACTTTTTTTTGTTGTTGTAATTTTTCAGTTCATTTGGTGGTTCACATCAAAAAAGATCCTGTTCAGGAAGTCCATTTTTTTATTTCTTTTTAGCAAAGTTGAAATCTTGAAAASCCTAAAAGTTGAGACAGATCTGGTTTTACTCATTCGATGAATCACAAACATTTCTGACTTCAGACTCTGGGTTCTTATTGATCTGAATAGAATAAATGTTACACAKATTAGCTGTGTTAAGTGATGTTTTCTTTATAGTGCCACTTGTTTTAAATTTCTTGTTTAAGAGCAGAATTGACTTCACGTTTGCTCCTTCCTTCAGAATTGTTTGATGTTTGCTTACAAAGCAGTCTTAGTGATTCAYTTGGTCATTGTAATATTTGTCCTGTTCTTGGTCTTGATTGTTGCTTTTGGAAAATAAATCGCCTTTTTTTTGTTACAACGCCGTCTCGATGATTACTTTATCATTCCTTTAGCGTGCACTGAACGGTAAAACATGGATGACCAGCACCAGAGTCACAGGTGAAAATAAAAACACTTTATTAATCAATAAAAACAATTCTTGATTGCCAGTACATTTTTCAAAACGGGGAACTACATCCAAACTCAAAGCAGAGAGTGAGACTGTTATGAAGACGCTGGACAAACTACATAAAAACAAACGTGAACGTATTTACAGAACAAGACGAACATAAAATAAAAGTGCACTAAGTAGTAGCAGTACTTAATAGTTGGTGCTGCACTGGGTTACATTAAAGTGAACCAGAGTTTCATGCCTGAATATCACATTAAATAAGAATGTTTCAATTTTTTTTYKTTTSTTTTTGGACATCGTCTTGAAGTTACAAGTTCTGTTCAGCCTCTTAATATTTTAACCTAACTGCTATCTTAGCTGCGACAACAGACCCAGTTTTTAAATTTTTTTTTGTATTTTAAAGAAAGCGATACAACACGCGCACCCACAGGATTCATTCAGACGAGTAAAAGCACTTCTACGTTCCGACCCGCTTCTCTAAACCCTTCAATAATGACGTGAATTTCAAATAAAAAGGCATTCATGTTAAAGCGGCCACAACACACGTCGTCATTTCACACATACGCTCCACTTTTACCTCATTTAATAACGTGGCTCACTTATTCAACACTTAAACATTGAGAACTTCATATTTAGGCCCTACAGCAGGTTTAAAAAAAAGTGACCTCGAGTGGCTTTTGGCTGCGTAAAGTTGGCAAATTAATTAATCCAAAAGGGATACAGCTGCCTATTCCACAGCATCAGCTGAGCCGGTTTCATTTTAATGCTTTAAACGGGGCATCCGAGGAGAARAACGTAAACAAAATGACCCATAAATGTGATCTGTGACAGCTGGAAACAATACAGTACTCTGGAGCTCCTGGCCCATCACAGTATGTTTAATTTCTGTTGATCAAAGCCTCCCTGCAAAGTTTTCTCACCGAAGAAAGGAAAGGGAGAGACTTACGTAAAGCMGATGACCTATAACCTTGTTTATACTACAGATTATGAACAGTTTATAAAGAGCCTTCCTAAACCTGCAGCAAAAAGGAATAGCAACGGACACGGCAAAATGCAAACAGCCAAGCCTTTTAAAGACAAATTACAGTGCTGTGAATAATTTATAAGAAAGCTGATACATTTTGCAACGCAGTGTGCCTCCTCCCAAAAATATTCCTCTGCTCCTCCTGCAGGACTCACCCACCCGCCTCCTCTGGGCTACCTCTCTGACTCGGACTCCACATCCCAACATCTTGACTCGCGGACGTCAAACCTGATCCTTTTATTTGGGGAGAGGAGAGGAGGGCTGGCTAAAACTCAGACGCCACCGCTCCAAAACTAGAACTAGCAGGACAAACCTACAGAATAAGAGTGCACTGTCAGCGCTTTAACAGATCAGGTGACGCACCATACAACCTTTGGTTAGGACAGGTGTTAACGGCAGCCTAAAAAGATGGGACTTCCTTTATCCTTTGGTATCTTAACTCCCAACCACAGACGCTGTTCTTTGCCTGAAGGTTTGAAACTTAAAAGCCTCAGTAACTATTAGAAAAAAACTGTGGGACGTGATCTGATAGTCCTTCAAACACTCAGTGCATAGGGATTCCAACCATCCTTATCTCCAGTGTTTAACTCCACGTCTCAATGTCAATCCACTGTATGAACCTCCATCCTTAGTGGTTTGATGCAAAAAGGAACAAAAGCAGCTAATATTCCTTTTAGTAGCTCAGTTTTTGTCCTTTTATATTCCTCCTTTTCTTGTCTAAAGAATGAAACGTTGGTACTCAAAGAGCTATTTCTGCTTCAAAGATGTTTCCAGGAAAACGTAGGAACAGAATGAAAAGGGAGAAACTAAAGCAGGAGGAGAAGTCGGCGCCGTTTTTCTTCCAACAGAACATTCTCAAAGAAAAAAGGGCACCTCTCTCTTGCACAAATCTTTCTTACTGATTTTAGCAAAGTGATAGAATAGAACCGCAGTCTGTCCGCCCCTCACTTCTTTTTGTCCTTTTGTTTCTTCTCGGGCTTACGGTTCTGCTGAGYGGCCGTTACGCCGCGAGGCATGATCAGCACGCTGCCGTCGGCGCCGTACTGCAGAGAGTACTCGCTGGGAGGATAGGGCCGCCCCTCCTCGTCCCGCAGCTGACTGAAGACCTCTTGGCACAACATTTGCATCTTCTGCTTCATCTGCCGGATGGAGCGGATGAACTCCATTTTCTCCTTCAGCAGGCGGGCTTTGTCACGCCTCAGGTCTTGAACGCCCTGCTCCAGGTTTATGATGGTCTCCAGCTTGCGCTTGCGGCAGTTCTGGGCGGCCATCTTGTTCTTGCCCCGCCTGCGGATGTCGCGGATGAGGGCGAGCTGCGCTTCACTCAGGTGGTGCTTGGCCAGGAGCTCGTTGAACTCTTCGACCGGGAGGTTGATGATCTTCTCGTTGGAGAAGGGGATCTTCATGGCCCGGGCCCGGCGCTCGTCACGACTCGAGTGTTTGTCGAGCAGGTCCTGAGCAGGCTGGAGCTTTGAGCTGTGTTTGTCGCGAACCGTCTTCTTCCCGGTTGAAACGGGAAGTTCGGGGTGCTCGGAGAAGGCCGAGGACAGCGGCAGGTTGTAAGTGTGATTGTGGCCGATGCTGTCCAGCTGAGGGAGGTTGTGGAACTGGGAGGGGTCCTGGTAGCTCATACGGCAGAGTTTACTGAATTCAGGTTGGTATCCCCCGACAGCCCCCTCCTCCGTCTCCACGGTGGCCACCTCAGAGTCAGTGCTGTAGCCGACAGCTCCCTCCTCAGAGAAGTTGGCAGAAGTCGAGGAGGATGAAGCTGCAGACGAGCAGGATGTCTCGGAGCTGCTCGGAGAGGCCGGGCTGTGGCTGGAGTCCAGAGAAAGACCAGAATCTGAGTCCAGCTCATCCTCCAGCTGGGAGGCTTGGGCCTGGCTGAAGCCCTCCTCCATAGCGAGGTCCAGGAGGCTGATCTCGTCCAGCATGGACTCCTCCAGCAGAGTGGTGAACGGATCGGACAGGTTAGGTGCAGATGTGACGTTGCTGGAGCTGTTGACAGGCGAGAGGAAGATCCCCGTCAGGTTAGTGGCTCCAAACGTGGAGTTGATGTTGCTGGAGTTGCTGGAGGACAGCCTGAGCATGCCGGGCCGGGCCGTATTGCTTACAGAGTCCAGTTGGGGGTTGAAAATCTGGGGGAAGTCTTGGCTGCAGCTGGGGAGGGAGGCCTGGTGAAGGCTCACGTCCTGGTTTATCGGGGTGGAATGTGTGGAAAGTCCAAAGTTTCCTGCTGGGTTTGACTCCGATGTCGTATTTGTGGCACTTCCACTGTCGGAGCTCGTTTGGAGCGCAGTGTTGTTCACTTCCATTGCCTTTGATCAAAGAGTTCAAACAAAAAGTCAAGCGGATGTGAATGAAAATGATCTTTAAACAGAAAAATATTTATTTCCATGTGTTACCACCAGAATATTTCTAATAAATTCAAGTAGGGGTCTCTGCAGTACGTAGGGGAGTTTCTTGTGTGGGCGGAGTTTGTCCTAACCATGATTGGTGGAGTTCAGTGTGGGTGGAGTTTGGAATATAGGCAGTGTTTTTGGGGTGGGCTTAGTTTGGTAAAACCATGATGGTCTGGTTGACTTGTCTTGTGGGGAAAGTTAAAAGATGAATAAATGGTAACTGTTCTGGAAATGTAAATATAATTTGACTGTCTTTTTATGGTTTGAAATAGAACAATGTCTCAAATAAAAATTATTGTGAGCATGTAAACATTATTAGACTTCACATTTTGTGCAGCCACACCTTCCTGTCTCGAGTTCTGACTAAAATTAATTAATATTTAAAAAAAATAGATGCTTTCTGGAATGTTTCGACTGAGCTACACGTCCCCCCAGCTGTCCAGCGTTCATTCAACCAAAACGTTACGGCTTCTTCACCCAACCCAAAATTTTCAAACCAACCAAACATGTCTCTAACAAACGACGCCCACAAAAGTCAAACAGACCAATCATGTCTTGGACGAACTCCTCCCACACTCTATTAAACTCCTAATTAGCAACTGAAGGCCCCCTTCTCAACAAATTAATCAATTATCCTCAAAAGGAGTCCCATTTTTCCACTTTCATACTGTTCTAAGATCCAAATATTGAAGTTTTGAAACAATCTCTATCAGTCCCAAAACAATGAACATCAATGTTGTCTGAGGAGTGAGATCTTACCTGGAGCTCCATGATGGCCATGATGTCCTGCCACTGCTGCTCCAGGTCTAACTGAGGCTCAGCTGGGGGCAGCTGCGGCACCAGGAGGAGGCTCTGAGACGTGGAGGGAACCTCTTCGCTGGACACTTGTATTTCCTGGTTAACGACGGTGACTGGAAACTAATTAAAATACAATAACTGTAAATTTTACACAGCATACACTATGTCAACACTTGCAATTTCTCAACCAAGCTTGTTCTGTTTTTCTCCAACACTTCCTGTTCAAAGGGAGTCTTTCCACTGTCACCATTGTGCTGTCTGGATTGGATTATTGTGACAAAGTAATAAAGTCCTTACATGATAACTTTTACTAATAATGTGATTGTTTTGGGCAGTGCCCTGAGATGACTTGTTGTTAATTGGAGGTATGTGAATAAATAAAACTGAACTGAAAATGTTTTATTATTTTTTTTTACCTCGGCTTCTTCTCCAAAAGGGAACGTGGCTTCCAGCAGCCTCAAGCACTCCTGCAGTGACAGTGAAGTCTGTGAGCCGAGACCTGGCAGCTGGTAACAGAAAGAACACACAAAACAAAAACATTTGGATATTTTAGTCATTTAAATTAAAAACAGTTGCTGTGCGTCTCAATTTATTTCCACAGACTCTGAACTTGACGCACTGACAGATTGAACTATCAATTTGCATCATTAGCTGCATCGCATGCGGGGGAATCAAATTGCAAACCATTACGCAAGAAAATCTTTTAAAAGGGCTTCAGAGGAAGATGTGTCTATAAACGGTGAAACATGTCAGAACATATTTTTAATGTCAAAAACCAGAGTTTCCCTGCAGATTACTGGTTTGTAAAGTTATAATTAAGCCACAACACTATGCTAGTTTTGAGCTACTATTATATTTAACCCCAACCCTAAAACTCTCTTAATGCCTTTTTCATGTAAAATGTAAAAACTGAACAAGTGTGAGAAAGAATAAGATTAAAACAGTAAGTTGTTGCATGTTTTTCCTCAGCTCAGAAGGAAATGTTTAATCCTAACCTGCTCTGGGATGCTCTCTCCGGTCTCCCCGTCCACAGGCTGAGCCCCTTGTAAGTTTACGCCGTTCCTCCAGCTGTCTTGTTCCTCGTTGCCATCTTTGTTCTCCTGGGGGTTGGGCTTCTCCTCCTCGGTGTCCTTCTGACGGTTGCTGTAGCTGAATACTTCTCTTCCTGCACCAAGGTCAATGTCCTGTCGCCATAGGATGTCTATCAAGTCAATGTCCTGTAAGTACACACAGAAAACTCCTGAATAAATGGTCCTACTCACAAACAAGTCATGTTTTTGTTTTGTATAAGTGAAATGATTAACTTATTTATGAAGAGAGGCAAGCTGGGAAGGAGAACTTTTGATTTCGCACAAAATGAAAAGCACATGGTGTAACGCAGATGATTCCAAATGGATTTTAACACTTTGACATGGTGGTTATCGTGTCATAAGAAAGCAATAAATTAATAAATAAAATGTGGCTTTGTGTGACACAAACTGTCAATTTGGTCTTTGTGTGTTTGCATTAGGGAGAAGCCATAAAAACACAAACACATGACAAGTCAACGTAAGAACACAAACAGTCACATTTTCCTTTCTGTCAGTTTTAAGCTACGGTTCTTAAAGTTGCATCCTTACAGACACAAACCAGCTGTTATGAATGTGACTCAACTGGTTTGACTAAAAATATCTGACACTGATACAGATTTTAAAAAAAGGAAAGGGTGTGTGGACCATAAAACACTTGGTGAATGTCATTTCAGCCACAATTATAGTAATATAACATCATACTTTAAATCTTCACTAACTAATAAAAATATGGTTTAGAATCAAATGTATCTGACATTTTAAGTCTATAAAAAACTACAGTACCCCTCTACTCATTGCAAACTATAAAATAAAACCAAAAATATTATTCTGAGCTACATCAAATGGTGCCGTTTGAAAGAGTTTACTCCAGTAGTTTTCCAGTTATACTGATGTGGAAATCTAAGATGCAGGTAAACAAAGAACTCAGCTGAATTTGCTAAAAACCATGTGGACACTTGAGTCACATGATGTTCATTAGGCTGGTAGTGTCTGTAGAGGAACAATTATACCCAGTATGTTTACCATTTTATCTATTTCCAGTCATTTTGGCTGTTTCTTATAAGTAAACAAAYGCACATGGTAGTTGGCAGCCATTTGTCAAAACTGCTTACAAATTTCTAATTTAAAAGATGTTAACCATCAAGATGAGAAATAAAACTGCAGATTTTTTTCACGTGAATCTGATTTTTAACTGGTCTCTATGGAGTACATTTAAACCAAGTCGGTTGACACATTAATATGAAATTAAGCATTCAATTTGTCAGACTCTGTTGAAATAGAGACTGATGAGCGTATTGAGGAATTAGTGATGTGCCAATAATGACAACAAGACAACATAACTTTAAAAAAAAAGTGTGTTCTGCCTTTTCAAGCTTTCCAGAGATAAGCTGTTGTACCTCTTTGGTGAGGTCGTCGTTGCCATTTCTGTTGCCCTGCTCCTGGTTTCCTTCTGGGGCCACGGCTCCCAGGCTGCTGTCCGCTGYGTTCAAGTTGTACGTGGATTCAGGTGCTCCACCTCCTCCCCTCATGGCCGGGGTAGGGTCAATGTTGTTAATGTCCTCTAGGCCGGCCCCATTGTCCAGGGTTATGCTGGGGCTGGACTGACTGCTGGCAGAAACTACGGTCTCGGTGTCACGATGAACAAGCCAGGTGTTGAGCTCAGTACTGGGCACGGAGAGGCGATCCAGCTGGCGCACCTCGTTTAGCAGCCGTCGGGTAGTGAAGAAATGGTCCAGGTCCACACTCTTTGGATGGATCCCATAGCCGTCCAGCGTGTTGTGGAGGTTGTGAAACTGTGTCTGGGTGTAGGCTGAGCTGGGCCCCAGGATGATCTCTCTTAACGGGGGTAACTGATTGCTGAGATAGGTGTCAACGTCCACCCGCACCCCAATGAGACTCAGAAGGATGGTGAACTGGATCAGGCCCTCTGTGAAGTACTTTTTCAGGTAAAGCATTTCTTTACAAAGGAACAAAAAATGAAAGTAAAAAATAAAAACGAAAACGGGGCAGACTATTTTTGATCAATGACTCTCTGCTAACACTACAAGATGGAAACAAAAACACAAACATAAGAGGGCCGAGGGTCTTCAAAAGTAACTTTGAAAGGGGTCTAAGGTCCAAGATGAGATTTCCACTTCTCTGGGTATCTTCTTCCCATTCCTGTCAAACATAACACATTATTTTTTTTACTCCATTATAGCAGATTTCATCAGCTCATGCTCTACAACCAAAACAGCTTTAAACTCCAGATCTTACCTACATTAGCATTAAACACATGTCAGTAACAGAAAACAGGACTTGCTGGCCCACTGAAACCACCCCATCCTGCCTGGAGAAACGATACCACCGCGCAAAGCCTCCTCAGTCTGAGATATTCAGCGGAGCAGATCTGATGAAAACAGAGCCACGCATCACCCCACCCTTGACAGGACAACTACTTCTGGTGGATGCTGCTGAAGGTGAATGGGAGAGTCGAGAAAGCTCGCTGGACTGGCTCTCACGCGCACCAACGACAGCTGATAGGCGGCGGGCAGGGTCCCTCCCTCCTCCAGCACAGCTGCGCCTATCTTTGTCCTTACCACGATAGCTGTTAGCTGCCTTAAATTTTTTACGACCCGGATACAATTTTACATATGTATAAACACTTAGTTCAACATAAGTACCCGTAATGAGACGTACTGCAACACTAAGAGACCATCTCCCATCTCCGTTTAGCTCAAAAAGTGACAGGTGCCTCTGCTAATATTTACTTTCGCCCTTAGAGGGTGTCAAACAATCTCCCTAGCAACAAGTGGTGAAAAGATGAGTGACAGACAGCACAGCCACTCACGGCCCTCGACAGTGCAACGTCACATGACTCCAGCAGCTCTAGACCAATAGGAATGAAGCACAGGCGGGTTTTGGAGAATCTGTCAAACCCAACACTATGCTAGCCTTGTGTGCTACTTTGCTTTTATTAAACCTACACAGCTACTTTTAAAAGTAACTTATAAGATAAATAARCCGTATTCAGCCATTAAATCACAAAAAGTGCTTTTATTATGTCTGCGGACTTTAGTTTGTGCCATTAAACACTACATCCACGTATCGACGTACGCGATAATTCATTAAAAATCTTAATACTTACGCATGAAGATTTAGCAACCCTTTCTTCATGCCCACAATTCCGCTATCACCTGGGACCGGTTTCATTAAAAGTTCCACTGAGCTTCCTGTTAAAGCATTCTCCAGCCTGTCCGGACTGAATGGCCCACCATGACTTGCAAAATTATTAGCTGGCCCGGTTAGCCTAGCACCCCGTGAAACCACGCGCGCACTCGGAGCATGCGTAGAACATTCTAGGTGGTAAGCTTTCATCAGCCGACGGAAAATTCCCCTTCCACGTTTTGATTAATAGATTTTTTTTATGGATTCACTTTCTAAAAATAATATTATATATTTAGTAAAAGATATGTATTTAATGCACAAGTTATAAATTAAGAACCTCAAAACTTTATACAACAAATACAAACATTAAAAAACAAAACTTCATGTATAAGTTTTTTAGTAAAGATTCTCTTGTTCAGTTCAAATCAAATCAAAAAGAAAAAAATTGTATAGGTCTTCTGGACGGGTTCTTCTCTAATGAAACGTTTCGTCTCTCCTCCAAGAGACTTCTTCAGTCTGAGAGTTTCAGGCAAAATTCAGGCTTTTAAGCCCTGCCTCCATGTGACTGATACATCACATGGCTATCGTTGACACCTAATTAACACTTATAGTTAACAGGGGGTGGAGTGATACTGGCAATAGTCGCGCTGCAGGAGGGGGACAACTGAAAACGGAGGCCTCCACCTCTGTTTAATGATGGACGGTCTTTCTTCACAAAAATGGCTTCTTTTACTCCTCTCTCAAACCAACGTTCCTCTCTATCAAGAATGAGAACATCCTCATCTCTGAAAGAGTGACCGCTGGCCTGTAAATGAGTGAAAACTGCAGAGTTCTGGCCATTAGATGTAGCTCGTCTGTGTTGGGACATTCTTTTGAACAGTGGCTGCTTTGTTTCCCCGATGTATAACTGGTCGCAGTCCTCCTGGCACTTAACAGCATATACAAYATTGCTCTGTTTGTGCCGGGGCACCGGATCTTTGGGGTGAACCAGCCTTTGCCGTAATGTGTTTTGGGGTTTGAAAGCYACTGGGACATCATGTTTAGAAAATAAACCTCTCAGTTTCTCCGAAACACCCGCAACATACGGAAAAACCACTGGTTTGGGGTCTTCATTTTCACCTGAAGGTTGCATGGTTTTCAGTTGTCCCCCTCCTACAGTGCTGCTATTGCCAGTATGACTCCACCCCTGTTAACAATAGGTGTTAATTAGGTGTCAACGATAGCCATGTGATGAGAGTATCAGTCACATGGAGGCAGTGCTTAAAAGCCTGAATTTTGCCTGAAACTCTCAGACTGAAGAAGTCTCTTTGAGGAGAGACGAAACGTTTCATTAGAGAAGAACCCGTCCAGAAGACCTATACTTTTTTTTTTTTGATTTTTTACCTGGATTACTGAGATGCATCAGGACATTCAAATCAAATCAAATGCATCTACTAATTACTAACTATTAGCAAGTTGTTTTTGCAAATRAATTATGAAAATATTTGATTTATGTTTAAGTTAACATAAAAAAACAGACCAAAACATTGAAACATGAAGTTAGTGATGCTAAAACAAAACTTCCTTATCAAAAATTTAATTCTTTCAAAGGTTAACAGGTCAAACAGTCTGCAGTTACTACACATGTAAACATATCGTTCAACATCATTTGCTACATACATTAAATATATACTGTTTATTTAAATGAAGAATTCTTTCAAAAGTCACTTAGTAAATGGCATTTTTTTATTTTATAAGTCTTTAATTGAGCTGCAGTTTACAAAACCACTCAAGTTGAAATTAAATACTATTTTTATTTGACTTTGTGGATTATAACAAAATATTTTTGCGTACRTCTGCAGAGTACACTAAATATTAACCCCCATCAGGTTGACTGGTCGGCTGTGGTATCTCTTTGAAATGTCGGCTTCGATCTGCAAAAATAAACAAAACAGTCACAACAGACAAMAACAAACCATTGTTCCTGACAGGCTTAAAGGTGTGCTATGAATGTTTTTACTTTTATTTAAAACCCCATCTTGYGACAGGGAGTTTTTATTTTCTGTTTCGGTTTTTATTCTTTCTGCAGCCAAACCAAACACCCCCCTGCCGACCCTGGAAAGTACCGCGCCGATCCTAGAACATAAATGAAACGTAATCTGATCTGGTACCAGTTTCTGGAGTTCCCGGGTGCGTCCTGCCAGCAGGTTGACATGAGGCTCCAGCCTGGAGTGCTCCTGTAAGGTTTCCTGCCTCCTCTCAGCCATCGCGGCAGCTTTCAGCACCAGAATATCTGCCTGCTTCAGCTTCTGCCTCAGCATCTCTGACACRCGCTCCACATACCTAAACACACAATTCATCCAAATAACAACACAGAAACTTGTTATACGTCAAAGTAACACAGCAGATTTAAAGGTGGAGTTGACACTCAGGCCGGACCTCGGGGAGGCCTGGATCATGAACAGGTGCTGCATCCGGAGCGAGGTGAGCCGGCCCAGGAGGTCCTGCACCTGGGACAGCATGTCCCTCACGTGTTCACGGGTTTGGTTCTGGATGATGGAGGGGGCCAGCTGGAACTGGCTCATGGCCACCACGTCCCCCTCCTCTCCCATCTCGCTGATGCGCTGCGTGAGGAACGCCTCCAGCTGGAACCAGCACAAAAGGTGGCAGGTGTTAAATTAAAAAAAGAGATGTAGATTTGCAAATGGTTATAAAAYCAAACAATCACAAAATACCTAAAAACTCAGTATATGGTTTTACGAGTCGGTAGGTCTTGAGGTATTTTATGATTGTATGATTTTATGTGGTATGTGGGGGGCAGGGGGGCTCTATGGTGTACATTTTAAAACATCCTTAGACCATAGACAAAAAAATCATCACATTTGATTGAAAACCACATCATTTCACACATTTTGTCACATAAMTGGCATAGTTTCTTTTGAGCTTGGCTCAGCCAAAGTGAAACAGGAAGTGACATCAAAGGAGAACTCTTGAAGAAAATTAACTATATTTTTAATTGAAACAATATTATTTGAACTCTGCTCTTCATCTCTCTGATAAAGACTCGAAATAATCTAAAGAAACACCAGATTCTTCTCTACAGTCTGTGTTAGTTGTTGTATCACTGCTCTATTCACATGCAGACATTCCCCTTTGACATCACTTCCTGTTACTTCACATGCAAATATCTTAACAACTATTCATCGCAACAGCTTGATTTTTTTTTGCAATATTTTATCAATGCTTTCTTTCCAAATATGTATTCATTATTATTAGGGAAAAAAATGATGTCACGGGTACTTTAAGGTCTCAGGACATTTTTGAGTATGTCCTAAAATATACACAGAAGGGCTGAAGTTTATGTATTTTAATGTGTCTGAGCCTCTATCATGRACCTAAATAACCTTAATTTTCTGCTACAACYTGTGACAGACAAYARCGTTTTTTCATCTGTTTATTTAGGAGTAAAATTTGTTTGTTTTTATCAATAAACCTGTTGATTCTCACCGATACACATCAGGACATGKAAATATTTATGTGGTTTATAATTTCAGTCATTTGACAATAGATGGGTGCAGTTTTTACCTCCATGAGCTCATCAATGAACTGGCTGCGTGACTGAGAGWTTTCCAGTAAACTCAGAGCGTCCTCCCCCCTCGCTACACCCTCAGGACCTGAACCATAAACACGAAACGTCTTCACCTGAGCACAGTTTGTCTAAAATCATGATGAGAAATTAAAAACAACAMTAATCTTACATTGGGTGCCTGCATCTACAATTTCAATTTCTACTGGAGCTGCGTCACCGTCGCCCCAATCAATGCCGCCTGCATCGGCGTCCTGATGAAGGAGACAGCAAGAAGTTTTATCTTTCTTTTATTTTTTTTACTAAACAATCAGAAAGTGACTAATTAATCATTATGTGGTGATTAATCAAGTCCTAAATCAACACGCAGGTCTGTTCTTACCCCAGGTGGCGGCTCCAGACTGACACCCCAATCTATTCCATCCTCAACCGCGACACCGGCGTTCACGCCCACATCCTCTGCTCCCTTCCCGAAGTCGCCCCAGTCGATCTGAAACAATTTCATCATTTAGAAAAAGTTGGTGCCATTTGTTGAATAGTTTGGAACAAAATCTGGTTAAATGAGAGCAAACCAGTAAAGAAAATCCCCTTTAAATCACCTGGGTTTTATTTTGAAAAATAAAAATCTTCGACAGCCGACCCAGACTGAGCAAGGAGGCTTTAACTGTTTAACTCAACGGTCACGTCCGGATCGATGTTTCTCTGATCGTCAAGAAAAACATCGGTCTGACTATAAAGCAGAAGCGGTGACCTTTGTTTCTGTAACGATATTAAAAACCTGCTGCTCTGTTTGCTTCGATCAACACGTGACAGAAAAAATAATGTGAAACAGGAAAAGGGAACTATAAAAAGCTGGGTTCTCGACTTTTCTAAAGTTCTTAAAAGAAATAAGATTTAAACATTTTTAACTCCATTTTTGAGACAATCAATCAAAAAACAGTTCTTTTCACGTTGGCATAAAMAAACACCTAAAATAAGCAGCAGCAGAAGAAAAATGTGATAAAGTTGTCAAGTTAAAACATAAAAATAAACTGTTTTAGCTACATCACAATGTTAGCATCTCTGCTTCTTCATGCATTTTCTCTTAGTTTCAGTTTATTGATTTTAATTTTATCGATGAAACCAACCGCGTCTTGGGTCACAGCTTCAGGAGGCGTGTCCTCCACGGCCGGGCGTTCCACAACCATCGGGACTTTCCCCGTTCTCCACTCGTAAAAGGTTACGTTCCCCMTCTTCTGGACAAACGTCAGCACCGGCAGGACTGGTTCAGACCTACAGACATGTGAGTCCATCAATTCAGCACGGTTTCTATTAAATCAGTTTTGTTGTGCTCACAGGAAAATATTTGATAGGCTATGAAACGCTTTGACGTTTTAATGCCAGAATGTGTGAAGGAAAAAAAAAAAAAGACAACTGAACTCTGAGTTAAAACACAAATCAAACAATCCAGCTAAACTAACATGCTTTCTGCTAGATTAAAGTAACTGACATGGTTTTAAAATTCATGACATGAAATAAAACTGACAAAATAAAAAAGGGAGATTTTACCTTTATTTAAACAGTGGAACATTAAGTCATCGACGAACTAGTTTCTTTAAAGCTTTCATTGTGCTTGTTGTAATGTGTTTAAATAACAATGAAATGTGCTGAATTTATAGAATTAAAAGCAGTAAAAGAAGCCTGCTCATAGGGTGAAGCATTAGGGTTGGCCAATAAATCAATAACGATAAATATCGCGAAACACACGATCAAGTTTAACAGAAAATTTGTCCAACAGAATGATGATTTCACTGAACTCTGATGCAGAACTGCACGGCATTCTGGGGGATGTAGGCAGAGGAAAGGCTTTAGCTGCTCGACCTCTCACAGCACAGCTAAATAATGTTGGTGGCATCAACTTGCTCACTCTTTTAGAAGCTAGCAGCAACCTGCAGTGGTAGTTTCATGTTTTGCCTCAGAACTGCTTAATAATAAAATAAGAAAGGAACGACGTGGAGTGAAAGGAGAAAATGATAACAGCTCGCGAGGAAATTGTGGATAAAAGAGGAAAGGTCACGTCACCAGTTTGGCAGAATTAATCATCCTTTTTACTCCTGGTCCTTATTTCAAATAGGTAAAACAAAAAAAGGGATCAAGAATTATTGATAGACGGATATGAAACGCTTCTATCCAGATACATTTTTCAGCCACACGAAGCATTTTGAAAGTAGAGAAACTAGATAAATATGCATTCCCTAAAATAATGCATCTTATGTTTTTGTGCACTCAGCAGTAAGAAGACAGTATATCAGTGGTTCCCAACTTTTTTAGACTTGTGTACTCCCTGAGCCATTTTATCATAAAACTAGTACCCCCTCAGTCAAATATGATAGAATAGAATAGAATAAAATAGAACAGAATGCCTTTATTGTCATTACATGCGTGCATAACGAGATTAGAGCCACTCCCACAGTACTGCAATTACACATTAAAAAAATAGAAAAGAATAAAGAGTAACAGGATAAAATTTGCTAAAATATGCCTATATATATATATNTGTATACACATGTATATATGCATATACCTACATATATACAACAATAAAAAGCACAATAAGAATCAGTTGTGAATGTGGTAGAAGAAAGTAAAACACCTTTTCTTAACGTCCTCCTCCCGTCACGTCATCACGTAAGCCCACGCAACATCCCAATACATGACAATATATATATATGCATATACCTACATATATAAAACAATAGAAAAACAATAAAAAGCACAATGAGAGTCGGTTGTAAACGTGAAACTCAAGTAGAAGGAAGTCAAATGACATTATTGCACATTTTGTATATTGAGGTATATGGATTATGCTAAATGTAATGATGATTCTCCAAAAGTATAATGTAAAACAACTGATTATTAAATGAAACTTATTTATTTAACCCCCTAGAACGTTTAGTTATCAAGGATTTGATTCTTTTCAACTCAAATTAAACATAAAGATAAAAACGTTGCCTCGAAAGTGAATAAGTAATTAAATAAAGAAACCAGGTAATGGCAGGTGCAGGAAGCAGCAGCGTCCAAAATACGTCAGAAACTCACGCAAATGAGTAACTTCCGTGAGATTCCATGTTTTATAATGGATTCCATTTTGTGTTACTTCCATAATTCCATCTGCAATTTCCACATTGCGGAAATCATAGGGCCCTACAAATGTCAGTCCTAATTTTATTAACTTTTTTACACACTTACTCACGTAACTTTGGTTGGAAATCATTGCAATATATGATGATGATGATGATGATGATGATGAACTCACCAGTCACAGACAAAGTTTGTGAAAGCAGCATAAAGCTGAATCTGCTCCTCCAACCATGCAGCGTCCTTCCCGACCTTCTCCAGGACATCTGGTAACTCCTTCACCAGGGCTTGCAGCTCTCGTGGAACATTTTCACCCTTTGAAGAAAAAAAAAAAAAAAACATGACGCCACTGGTTTTTAAATATGTCATTCTCGATCCCGCAGCGTACGGTTTGTGCCTCAGACTCACCGTGATCCCGTACTGTTTGCAGGCGTCGTAGTAGCGCTCCCTCAGCTCGGCTGCTGAACTCTGACACTCCACCTCCCGCCTGCTGAGCTCCTGCTGGAGCTGCTGAGCTTTGGCGAGCTGCTTCCTCAGAGCTGGACCTTCGTAGCTCACGTTACGAAACAGCAAGCTGGCCACCTCCGCTGGGACACGCCAACACAGAAAAGACAAATTCAGAATCAGAATCTATAATTTAAACGTTACCTAAAAAGAAGAACCATGGTTGTGATTATAAACACATAAGAGTTGTGAGTTATTCTCTCATATTTGTAATACTCACCCAAATAAACATTATCTGCTTCATAAAGTGACACGATCTCCTGCCAGTCCTGTGAGAACAAAAAACAGGCTGAAGCTGTAAATTCTGACAGATTATCACGAGGTGAAAAAAGACGAGGTGCGGCAGTCTGTCTGAATCCGTTCACCTTCATTCTYTGAGACGAATATCTGCCAAAGATGTTCTTCGACGAAGCCTCGGTTCCCCTCAGAATCTCCACGATCCTCCGGCAGTGAAAGTAGTGAATGTCTGTGAGTGGAAACATAAAACAAAATGTATTAAAACATGTTTTCGACATCTGGAGCACCGTATGAAAGAACTGTGAGAGAGTAGAGAGTCCAGGTGTTCTTCACCTACAGGAGCCGGAGAGAAGCTGCTTGATCTCCTCGTTTTCTGGCATGTCCTGGATGGCTGCGTTGATCTTCTCTCTGATTGTTTTTATGGCACTCTGCCATTTTATATTACAGTGCCGTCGATCCAGCAGCCAGTCTGCAAACACACACAAAATGCAAATATATATATATATTTTTATGTTTTATTTAATACATTTAAAAAGACCTGTAAAAAACAAACGACAAATTCCAAACTTTCCCATCACCCTCTGAAATTAGTCTGCAACAATAACAGGACACAGGAAAAAAAAAAAAACAGCCATACTGCATTATTTGTACTTTTCCTCACCTAAAAGCTTGCTGGTCTGTATGTCGATGGGAAGATTTTGAATATTCTGTTAAAGAGAAATTGCATTTAGAAATATTTTTTCACTTAGTTTCTTAGTTTTAGTATCATAAAGGAAAAAGTAACAACTTTAACAGCTTATTATAGGACAAATAAACATAAAAACTCCACACAAGCGACAGAGATTTCACCGTGAGCTCTAAAAGATCAGCTTTTTTTCCAGCTAAATCGGACTTTGAGTCAGTTAGTGAAGCTAGCAGATGTTAGCTTCCAGGCTAATATTAGTTAGCGAAAATGTTTCAGCTCACCTCCATTATTCCTCCGCCCTTTTAAACCCGTTAACGCTTCCAATGTTTCACCGTTTCATTGATTTGTTATGTTTATTTTCTGATTTATTACAGTCACCATCGGATTTAGCTGTTTTTGACACGTTCAGTATAGTTGAACCAATAAAACGAGAGAATATTAACACACCTAAAGAAATGACCAATCACGTTCGACTTTACTAAAACTCACAGCTGATTGGGTAAATTTCAGCAACAGATCTGTTGCAGTAACTTAAATTTACCGCTAGAGGGAAACATTTTGTGCAGTTTTCAGTTCAGTTTATCATAGGATTATTTATCAGTATGATAAATTATATATTATTTTTTTAAATAAATGCCTTATTACCTCATAGGTGTAGGCTTTAATATGTATTAGTAGTTACACTTAAAATGTTGTAACGTAAAATATTTGTGTGGCTAATTACAGCCCATGTATTGTATTTACAAGTGTGTTTTAATTGACAATATAATGCTGAAGTGCTACAATTTGAAATAGCTAAGATTGTATGGAGGACCAAAACTGTTGAAATAAGAAATAAAAGTAGAAATATATATAAAACATAGATAACCGATATTGTTTCCATTTTCTAATTAAACAATTTATTTTGACACAAGTTTTTCTGCATGTTGTGAATTAAATGTAGGGCAGAAATGTTTAAATCCCTGCAGCAGTGACTGTGTCTCAGACAGGCGGCCTGAATTCAGAAGATTTGAATGCGAGTAAAGCATCTATCCACTGTCTGTGATTTTACACAAAGCCATGCAAAACAGCTCCAGATCCCTCTCAGCCTCACGTTCCACCTTACAGTCACCCCGAAACTGGACACTTCAGAGCCTCATTCTGCAAAAAAGAAAAGAAAAAAAAAAAGAAACTCTCACACTTTTGAAGTGAGACAGATAAAATGTTTTGTTTGCAGTTTGGTGCGAGTTATCTTCTGTGCAGCGAGCACTCAGGGGTTGCAACACTCCAGCTGGGCGGGCTTTAAGGTGTGTGTTTGAGAAGGGTGTGTGCAGAGGTGGAGGACAGAGGGACAAGGCAGGAGGGAGAGAGATGCTGCACCTGTGCTCGATCACCTGAGGACAAGAGGCAGAGGAGCAGCACAGAAGGACAAGGAGCATGGTGGGACACTTTCACTTCTGAGAGAATCTTCTTCAAACTAATCATCAAACCTGAGGTGAGACAGCATAAAAAAAGATATTTAAAGAACAAATGTTTTATGTCACTGGATATAAACTTAGTAAACTCAGCTTTATCAGTAATTTAGGTCATCAAAACCTCAAATAAGCCAAATCATCTCATTACATAACACAAAAAACTAGTCAGATAAATTAATCAAAATTTGACAAAAACAAACATTTCCAGTTTATTGTAAGATGTTTATTTTAGAGTAAACATTTAAGCTTCTGATAAATTAACTCAAACGTTGCTAAAAAAAAAACGTGAATTAATATGAACAGAATGACATGAAAAATACTTTTCCTATTTATAGCAATAGCCTTACAACATTTTGCAACATTTTTGTAAAAGTTTAGGCCCTCAGCCTCCGCTTTTGAGGACCACTGTTTTAAAGAATTCGTGCACTAAATATTTAAAGACTATTCCAGCAAACACAGCATGAAAAAAATAAAATTTTCACAATGTGAGTATTGTCCTTTTTTTTCACTTTAATGCAAATTAAAAGAAGGTTTTGGTTTTAAAATGATCAATGTAAACTTTACCTAAATAACTTTTTCTCGATTTTAAATGAAAAAAAAAWGAAAGAAAACCTCACAAGTGAAAGTAAAGCTCATCCTCATCCTGGGTTATCACGGGATTAGCCATAAAGATGATAATCTGATGGACTTTGATGCCATTAAACAAAAAAGCAAAACAGCTTCCTTTTGATTTCCCAGAAAATCCCATAAACAAACCAGGCCGTACTCAGAATTACAGATAAGTTACGAAAGCGTTATTATAAAGACCAGACAAAGAAAAACTGCTCCTTCATCAACTCCCTCAGCGTTTCTGTTCCGGGTCAGCCGTCCCAGGAGACGAAACCCGAGAGTCTGCTCCAGAGCGCAGGCCGCTCGGGCCTCGGCGTCTCCGCCAGACTCTGAGCTTCTAACAGTTGAGCGAAACTTTGCTGGCGGGCTCGCAGAACACACGGTAACTTATTAAAAAGCCCAGCGGAGGGGCCTCCTTTGTGTCAACAGGACGTTTTGTCTCAAAGGTCACGACTAAGTCAAACACCACAGAAAATATGTGTATTTTTATCTCTGTCATCTGGGACATGAAAGTGCAGCTCAGCTGAGTGGGTTCTGCAGAAACATTTACACTGAAAGGCAACAAAAATGACTTTTGAAGACATTTTCCTAACGGAGTCGAGCACAACGATTAAAATTTTAAGAAACGACTGTTAAAAAAAAGTAGCCCTCAGAGTGTTTGTTGTAAATGACCCTCAGCTACCACCACAACAAATATTACCTCAACGTGTCACCCTGAACAAACTACAAACAATAGGTTGGCTGTGGCGGCCATCTTGAATCAGGTCGGCCTCAAAAGGTGATCAGTTTTAAGCGTTCATCCAGAGACCGTTTCCTGAAAGTTTCATTAAAAAGTGTCCAGTAGGTCATGAGATATTTTGCTAACAGGCACATATTTTCCTCTGATGTGAGTCCTGCTGCGACACAGAACCAGAACTCTTTGTACTTCATGGTCCAGGTGCTGAGGTCACATGACTCAGATGGGAGTCTGAYGAGTTTCTGTAGGAGGACACTGGGTCTGTATTTGCATAGGTGCTGGATGATAAAAGTGACCAGACTCTGCTTCCTTCAAGCCTCATAAAAGACACTTTGTTACGTTTCTGAAGCTCATAAAGGCCCGTTTATGATCCGCACAGAATCCAAACAAACTCTTTGTCAGATCAGTTCCTGCTTTGTGTTCAGCACAAAAGAAAAACCTGCTTTCAGAAGCACGACCGGGCTTCGCTTTCAGTTTAATGTTCGAGAAGTTCAGGTGGATTTCAGCCACTTAGAACAAATAAAACTGACATTTTCATGATTTTATATGAACAAATCGGAAGTTTTTATTTGTTTTACTTAAAAAAAATCAACTATTCTGTCTCTATAAAATATTTTAACTAAATTGTAAATAATTTCCACGTTTAATTTCAGATCTTTTCTGATATTAATGAGCCTTTTATGATGCTTTTTAATTAACTTTCTCTTCACACAGTGGCGTCACCAACARCAAAGTTTTTTTTCTAAAAAGTGAAATTCTATAAAGAAAATAGACTGAGCTGACTAAAATACCACAGAATATAAAATATATGATCAATTATTAATGAATTAACTGGGAAAATGTGAACGTTTGTTGTGAAGAACAGAGTTCAATGAAGAGAATAAAACTAGACTAATAAAGTTAAAATGATCAGAACAAAACACTAAAAAGTAGCAAAACTATAGCTGAAAGCTAAAATTTTCAAAATAGCTTAAATCTAGAAAACCAGCATAAAAGCTCAAATAAACAAAGCTGAACACTAACAGTAGATGAAAGCTAAAATTATAAGAATAGCAGCAAGTTAAAGCCAACAGATAAAAATAGCTTAAAGCTAAAATGAGCAAAACAGTGGCATAAAGTTACTAGTAGCAAAAACAATAATAAAAAAAATAAAGAAATCAGGATAGTAACTGACAGCTAAAACCAACATAAGAAAAACTAAAATAAACAAAACAACAGCCAACAGCTAAACCAATCAAACAAATAACTATAACCTTACATTAGCTGAAAGCTATTATGGTAGCTGAAAGCTAAAACCAGCAGAAAAATAGTTAAGAGCTAAAATGTGCAAAACTTAAAAATGACAACACTTTCTTAATCTGATGCTAATAAATTTCAAAAGCACCTTTTTTCAGAGAATAAATAATGTCAGTGAATTTCTGTGAGAAAAAAACTCTAAATAAAATCAAAAAGTATAAAAGCTGCAACAACCAAAATACTCAGCTAAAGTGTCCCCAACAAGCTGAATATTTGGTCAACCTTGAAGAGACATTATTTGATTAACAAATATGAAAATTATGAAGATAAGTTTGTGAAATCTGCTTTGACAGTTTTAAACATCTTCAGAAAACTTCTCAGTTTGATGAGTGATTTTTGTATCTTTGACCCTAAAAGCCGAGTTTGTTCTTCCTTCCTGTGTTTCATACTCAATTATCAGCTGAAGCATGAAATTGTTGAAACGTGTTGCTGGTTTCAGGAATGTGGGTCGAACCGGGTACGTCGTCAAACATTATCCAAGGAGAGAYGTTTTTGTGCAGAGAATGAAAGGAGGAAATTTGAGTACCCGTCATGTTTAAGGCTGAATATCATCCGTGCTCAAGATAAAAATCTGAAATACAAAAGTCAAAATTAAATCCATAAACTAACGTGAATCCAATGTTCTGCGTGATCGGTTAGCACTCAGAGCATGCAGGGTTCAGTCTCAGCTACTACCACAGCTCAATATCTGTTAAATTGGCTGCTTTGTTGTCATTTTTGTGTTTGCTCTAATTGTTTTGTTGTGGCGGCCATTTTGAACCAGATTGGCTTCAATCAKAAATCTGTTTGTGTAAATCCACATAGTGATTTGTGAGATATTTTGCTAACAAACACAGGCAGGCAAGAGCAAAAACGTTAATGCCTTTCGCCTTTGATGGGCGATAAAAACAAGATGAACAAACACTTTATTGTTGACGGTTTAATTTGAATTATTATTTGATTTGATTTGATTTATTGATTCAACAGGAAAATATTACAAAAAATCAAGCCTGACTCAGCATAATTGCTGTCTTACAG